CTTGAAATATCACCGGAACAGTTAATAATTAGAGCATTGATGATCTTTAATAAAAGTTATGACGTTAGAAAAAATACACCGATCCTATCTGTATACACACTATGGTCAGACTAAACATTCACCTTATTGTTAAATGAACTTCTCAATGAATCTAATAGGGATCGATGAATAGAGAAATTTTAACAGATACCGAAATTTCTGAGACCAATGTATCGTTTTTTTTTTAATCTGCTTTTCTGCTTTCCGAGGTTCGTACTGTTTCGCTTGGAATATTTTTCAGATTGCTGAATAAACACGTCAATCAGTCATAATACCAATTACACTTACAAATGTCTTTTCTAAGGTATATGAAAGCCTAGTACTTGTGCGCCTGCAACAATACTTTGATCGATATGGTGTCCTCTCTTCCGAACAGGCAGTTTTTTGAAAGAATAAGAACACGTTGCAAGTTTTTTGTTTAATCCAAAAAATTAAGGATGGGTACCGTGGTAAGCAGAGTACTCTACTTCAAGACTTGAATGGCAACAGAGAAGAACGTGCTCAATGATTTTCAATCAGGACAAAGAAAAGGCAAGACATACGCACACTGATATGTTTTCATAGATGTGTTTCCGTAATTGGGGGCTGATTTTGCATTGCCCTTTGACCGATGTAGACTAGAGTTAGCCATGTTATCCGATTCTACGTGACAAGTTATAAGAGAATTTGGAATTAATTAATTGTTTTTTATCAATGGTTGTTGCTGACCTTCCGATATCCATTAAATCCACCGTCTCCCGTCCATTTATTGAAGTTCTCTGAAGCCGTATTCTTCAGTGAGTTGGGAATAGCAGCAACAAAATTTGAGGTATGAGTAATGGGAGATCACTTTATTTTCTTTCTACATATTTTTCTAAAATTACCGTTAATACCACATTCAGGGCAGATGACATCTTTAGCTAGGCATTGAATTCTAGCATGTTTCTTGAGACCACAAAAGTAAAAATTCTCAAGGACAGCAGAATATATTAAGTTCAAACTTCGATTCATCGTGTGTTTGGTTATGTTGCGATTGCTGATTTGCTAGCTCAAGACTTCTAGCCAGGCTGACAGTTTCTTCCAGGGAGAGTGTAGGACTTTGTAATATTTCTGCCTTATATTGGGAGATTGTCGCCTATCTATAAATGCGCCCTTTCCCTAAAATTTTGTTAGGGCCTGTCGAGGAGTTTTATGAGTTTAAGTTAACTTGTATGGGGGGGTGGGGTATAGCCCGGCCACCCTTCCTCCTGAGGGGATATAAATATTCAGGAGGCCAGTTGTCCCGAGGATACGGGACCTCCAGCACTGGGCTAATCACCTAATAAGATTAGGAGAGAATGCTTAGCGGCTCTACCGGATTACCTCCGAGTGAGAATAGGAGATGATCCAAGAAACTGGAAGAAGATCCTCCGGAAGGATACAGTAGAGGACTGGAACCGACGGTGGTTGACGACTCCCAAAGAAACTACCCTAAGGAAGTACTTCCCCACCGTCAGTTCGCGACTAGAAGCGACTTGGGTCCTCCCGGACTACTGGATTTCACAGATTCTCACGGGGCATGGGGGTTTCCGAGCAAAGCTCGTTAAGTATGGTATAAATATCGATCCCCTATGCCCAAGTTGTGGGGTACCGGAGACCGCTGAACATGTTGTACTTACCTGTACGGTCTATGAGTCACTGAGGGCGAAACTGTTGAGAGAAACAGGTCTCTTTGTCGTAACAGAGAGAGATCTTCCTCAACTTATGGCCAAAGACAAATACGATCACTTCAAACGATTTATATACGGATGGAAAGAAGTTGTACTACCAACCCACTTCTCTTTGGGAAGAAGAGGGACCACCAGAATAAGAAGAAAAGAAAACCAGATGCAAGTGAAGAGAAGAGCAAGCTGTGTGCACTGCTCAGAAAAATAATGTAATAGCCAAAAATGCAGCAGTGGGTTGTTATGTAACAGTAACATCCCACTGCTGCAAATACCCGTATTGCCTTCAGGCAGGGGAGGGTTTAAAATTAAAAAAAAAAAAAAAAAAAAAAAAAAAAACTGGGCTAATCACCTGTCTGGAGAATCAACGATTCAAAGCAATTTAACTAGCCTCGGATGCGGACTGTCTTCAAGGAAACCTGGCACACTAAGGGATATACGAATTGGAACGTGGAACATAAAAAACTTTAATTGGGAAGGAGGTCGAGCTGGTTGAGGAAATGAGGACCTACAAAGTAGAAATTCCCTTGGCTTGGAAAAGATCCTTGGCAGATGGAAGGAATATTTCCTGGAACCATTCTCCGAAAACCCAGAAACAGACCATTACCAAGAACAAAGCCCAATATTCAAGAAAGCCTGGAGGTTATAGAGGAAGAAGAAATAGAAAATGCAATCCATAAGCTAAAAAGAGGTAAGGAATCAGGAAGGGATGGAATTGCACCAGAATATTTAAAATTCGGTGGTCAAGAACTTCTTAAAGCACTACAATTGCTGTTCTAAGAAGTATATGACAGAAAGAAAATTCCCATGGACTGGGAATATTGCATAATCCTCCCGATTTATAAAAAAGGATGCACGACAGATTGCAAAAATTATAGACCCATTAGTCTGCTATCAGTGGTCTATAAACTTTATACTTCTATACTAGAAAGGAGACTCCGACGGATTGTGGAAGGGCAGTTAGAAGCGGAACAGGCCGACCGACCCAGGATCACATCTTTGTTCTCAGAAATATTGCTGAAAAAGCTTGGGACAGAGACAAAAATCTGTATCTTGCGTTCCTTGATCTGAAGTCAGGTTTTGATGTGGTCCCAAGAAAAGAAATTTGGAATGCCCTAATAGCCAAGGGTGTACCTGGAGACTTGCTGGCGGCCATACAGTCAGCCTATCACGGAGCCATGGCAGTGGTAAGGATGAACGGTATGGAATCGGAACCTTTTCCAATTGCGAGAGGAGTTAGACAGGGAGATAGCTTTAGTCCCCTTCTATTTATAAATGTAATGGATGAAATCCACAAAATCTGTAAACGCCGAACTGCGTGGACAACAATTGGGAAGTGGAATTTGAGAACTGTCCTCATACAAAGCCTTCATACGCGGATGACATAGTCAGTCCTAATAGCCGACACGAAGACCATACTACGACAAGCTCTGGAAGAATAGGAAGAAGGGTTGCTCAGGAAAGGGATGCAAATTAACACCTCCAAGAGTAAAGTGCTGATTATGGTGAGGAAAAACGAGAAGATGTACAGCTGATCTGCAATGGCGAGACACTTGAGGTGGTGACTGAATATACCTACCTGGGGACCGTAATTAGTAGTTCGGGTAAAATAGACGCCGAAATATCAAGCAGAATATGTAAGGCGAATCAGGTGTATTACCAGACTACTAATAGCATTATCGGCCATCGCGAAGTAGACAAGAAGACCAAAATGCACGTATATAAGTCTGTTTACCTACCTACACTCACCTACGGCGGAGAAAGCTGGACAATGCTAAACAGGCACTCTAGTCGCATAACGGCAGCAGAAATGAGGTTCCTTCGCAGATCTGTTGGCAGAACTAGAAGGGATCGCATTTGGAATGAAAGCATTAGAGAGAAGCTAGGACTTGCCGAACTTAAAACTACTTTAGAAAGACGGCAACACCAGTGGTTTGGACACGTCTGCCGCATGAATGAGAATTTGAATCCTATAAGGATATTAGAGGCTCGATACACAGGAAGGAGACCACGCGGACGCCCCAGAATCATATTCCAGGAGTATATTCAAAGGATTGGATGTAAAAGATCAAAACCCTTAATGAGATGAAGCAGCTAAGCAGGGACCGGGAAGAGTGGTTAAGCTGGATTGAGGCTCCTCGACGTTAACAAATGGCATAAGTGGAAGACAAAGAAGAAGAAGAAGAAGTTAACTTGTGACGAGCGAATATTTCATTTACGGGTTTCAATATTTATTCTCAAGAATGTTAACAGGATCTTGAAATGTTTAATATTCATTAAATAAAATTGTACATTACTTTTAATTTGTCAGCTTCATGTTCAGCGGAAGACAAGAGGTTTAGAAATGTTCTGAGTAAATGCTGCCATACCATCGCTGCATTCTTATCATTTGTATTGATTGAAAATCTCTCTGGTTTAAGTATATGATCCATAATGTAGGTTTATTTAATTACTTTTGTGAAATAAATTGAAATACAAAAATTGGAAATAAAAAGAACTGGAGTAGTGATTAAAATACTCAGTACCCAGACAGCGCGAGTGAAATACCCTGTAATTTTTACGTTATGCTCAGAGTTCCTTTTACCGTTCTCTATTCTATAATCGTAGTGTCAAGGGAGACATGTGTGGAAGGCAACATGTCCGCCAGCCCAAATGAGTTACAAATAGATTCAAATGTATATAGAAAATCAATTAAAGCCATAATATTGAAGAAAAAATACAAGAAAGTTAAATTTTCTCTGTTTTTTAAACCAAAACTGCAGATTCTGAGTGCGTCTTTAGTCTTAACATAGTTTCTACAATATGGTCCATAAGCAAAAGTCAATGCTAATCGTGCCTCCCTAAAAAAAAAAAAAAAGAATAAAAACACGCTATTCTTATGATTATATCACTTCCTGTCATTACTGATGGTAAATGATCAAGTGCTAGGCTTTGGAGAGAATCTTATGTTGAAACAAAACTAAAATAAATTAGAAAAATAATGTAATGATTTATAGTTGTTATATGGCTCTAATACTTATTTCCTTTATAAAGAGCAGGTTGTATTATTATTTGACAATAAAAAAAAGTTTAATTATAAGCCATAATTTTGGAAGTTTTTAAAACTTCGCTTGTAGCAGATATAAAACTATTTCAAAGGTTCTTTTAAACTATAGTGAAAAGATATATTTTTTGAACCGTCAATTTGCAAGGTTTATCATAACTTATATTTCATTTTAAAAGTTCTTTGATTAGTGGATGTGTTCTATATCAAGTAGCTGTTAGTTTTAGTAGCGCCATCTGCCATTTAAAGCGGAGAAAGGTACTAAATTAGTTCCTTGTTAAGTTCAGTTATTGTATTTTTCATCGATATGTTTTTAAAATGCTATTCTTTAGTGTTTTGTTCTTGTGTTTCTCTTGTTTAACCTGAGGAGTTAATGTTTTGTTTTGCTAACAACATGGCACGAGAATATGACCATTTATTTAAATTATTGATTATTGGTGATAGCGGTAAGTACAATTCATTCATGTAAATAGTCTTTTTTTTATCAATTAAACGGGAGTACTTAACCAATTTACAACTTAAATATTTTCCTTTTATTTCTCCTCTAATATTATATTGCTTATATTTGTGTATGTCTGGGCAAGTCCTGAAGAAGTAAATAAATTAAGATCTTAAATTAATCTTTTTTTTTAGAAACTATTTAATGCTTTAATTAAAGGCCAAATTCTCTTGATTTAGCCTATATTGTACTGTTTCTTTTACTTAAGTCTCTTTTTTTTTCTTTATAATTTGTTGCTTATAAACATATTTTTAAATCAACTGTTTGTATCAACTAACCTCCTTTTTCATGACTGTTACAAATGTACTTGCAGTTATCATAGGTTTCTTTGGATATTGGATATCATGCCATATCATATGGATGTCATAGGTAGTTTTATCTTTTTAGTTAAACTATTTTATTGTTACCTATCTGAATTCATGTTCCTAAAGTTTTCCCATATTCATGAATGAACTGTCGATTTACTGACTAGGTATGGTTTGCTTCATAGAATGTCAATTACTTATTAACATTAACATTACAATTATTTAAGTAATATTTAACTCAAATTTTGTAATTCATTGCTTTAATATTTTGTTTATTTGAAGATACGTTAATTAATAAAGTTTCTCAGCTAAGGAGTTGTAGTGTATTGTACATCGATTATATTTCCTTGATATATCAATGGTTGTCAGTGGAGTAACCTGTTATAACACACGTTTTAAGTTTGTAATAACTTTGTTCAATAAGTATTGATAATCTTTATGTATTAATTCTTGGGAAGCTTAAAATCTTTGTTTGATGTTGATTGTTGAGATGATTTTGTGAAAAAGTAGAATTCTGTCAATTGAAAGGTGGGAAATATTTTTGTTTTTATTACTTACGAATTTTTTCTTAATTTCTTTTTTTTTTTATCAAATAGTGTATATTATGTTATGGTAATATTTACAAATAGTGTTGTTATTTTATATTTTAAATACTGTTGAAACTAATGAGTTAATTAAAGCTCACAAATAGTAAAAATATAAATGCTGGGTTTCTTGTTTAATTATTCTAAAAAATAAATTATATATTTCCTATCCGTGCAATCTGATGCATTCAGAATCTGATAATATCAATTATAAAGTCAAAATAATCTGTACAGAAATATTCATGTAGGTAGCCCACCTAATATTATTGTAGCATTAGCAAAACTTCTTATTTCAATATTCCTGGAAAGCTGACCTAGTCCGACCTTTGAATAAAACCTCTAACTCTTCCTCACTACATGAATTCCGTTTTATTTCTCTCCTTTACAAACGCTTCAAAACAACCGAACGCCTAGTACTAAATCAACTTTCTTAAGGAACATTTCTTCATTTCTTTCCAATCTGGCTTTCGACCTGGATACTCAATGCAATCTGCCCTACTAAAAATAACCCATGAACTCCAAAACTCCTTTGTACACCACAAATTTACTATCCTCATCCTTCTTGATTTTTCCAAAGAATTTGACACATAGTTGACCATAACATCCTCCTTACTAAACTGTAAAATCTTCTATCTAACAGTGTCTTGCATTGGTTCAAGTCCATTCTCTCAGATAAGTCTCATATGTAGTAGAGATCAATCGAAAGCGATATATAGGCCTTTCTCTCTCTCTTTTTTTTTTCTTTTTCATATACTTGTATTCTAATGATCGGCCTTATGACCATATTTGATCGAAATTCAACAAATTTCACTTGGAATATTACTTTTATAGCTGATGAATATGTAAATCAATCGTGAAGGGATCAACATAAACATAAATTTAAGCAGAGGCCAATACATCGGCGTTATGACTGTATTTTATCGAGATTGTTAGAATTTGACCATTTATTTATTTATTGTCCCCTTCCCTAATTTTAGCATATACCTGTATTATAAAGACCTTATTTTATCGTGATTCAAAGAATTTCATATCAGCTATTTCGTCCGCACCATGCTAAAGGTTAAAGGTTGCACATTCGTTACTTTTACATGGTGCCGATGATATGAACTTATTTTATCAAGATTTTTAATAGTTTGACCACTTGTTTATTATTATTTCTTATTTTTGTTCTCCTAATTTGACCAGATACTAATATTCTAAAGACCAATATATTGGCCTTCTGACCTTATTTTATCGAGATTAGTAGAGTTTGACTAATCTTTTTTGTCCTGTTCTTCTCATAATGTGAACGAATATCGATATATCGGCCTTATGATCTTATTTTATTGAGAGTGTTAAAGATTAGCCATTTTTTATATTTTATTTCTTCCCTTCCGCTTACATGAGCAGTTAGCGATATTCCAAAGACCGATATATCGGCCCCACGACCATATTTTATCAAGATTCAAACTTGGAATTTTCTTTCATTGCTGATAAATGTACATAAAGATAAATTAGGGCAAAGACCAGCCTTATGAACATGAAAATTTGACTATTTCTTATATTTATTATTTTTATGTTTTTGGTCCTCCTCATTATTATTTCTTATACCTCTTGAGCAGATACTGATATTCCAAAGACTAATATGTCGCCCTCATGACCTTATTTTATCAAGATTGCTTGTTTACCTTTTTTTCCCTCTTCCAAATTTTTTTTTTATGTTTTGGTTCTCTACTTAGAATAATATTGCAGCCTTATGACCTCATTTTATTGAGATTCAAAGAGTTGTTTCATTTGGAGCCGTTCCGACTCAAAATGAATTTCCTATATTAATAAGTTAGGATAATTTCCAGCAGTTCAAACATTTATGGTTGAAAAGGGCCCGGTCACTTTTCTCCTTGGGACTCGAAGAAGAAGATGGGGCCCTGCGCCAGGTAGATTGCCGAACCCACTGGAAGAATAATAAAAACTTGGATCAAAAAAACAGAACATGTTTAAAGAACATGACTGAAGTAGAGAAAATTGACAGCAGTAGTATTACGCTTCCCAGACCGATGTATCAGTCTTTGGAATGTCGATACCTGCTCAAATGAGGGGAAGAGGAGGACCAAAAAAATTAAAAATTAAAATTAAAAAATGGTCAAACTCTAACAATCTCAATAGAATTATGATAAAATATGTCTGTCATTAGAATATCGGTATCTGCTCAAATTTTTATTTTATGTCAAGTCCTTGGCGACTGATTGACACATTTATCAGTAAGAAAAATAATGTTTTAAGTTAAATTTTATGAATCTCGATAATATAAGTGGCGATATTCCAAAAGCCGATATATCAGATATAAGGGATATATATCTATGCAGATGATTTGCGAATATACCTGTCCTTCCTACCCTCCTACCTATTATCAGCCCATCAAATGAAAGATTATAAACAACCAAAAAAAACTTTCTAGGCCAAATAGTTCCTTAGATATAGTCCCAAAACCTTTTTAAAAACGCACCTTTTATTGGGTTTTTTATTATTTTAAAAATTTATAACTCAAAAGCCGTAAGTTCAAAAAAGCTATAAGTTTTCTATATTAATGCATTCAACAAATAAAAAAAATTATCAAAATCCAAGACCCACTGGGTCAGGTCCTGTAGTCCAAGTTTCAAATAATAAAGATGAAATTTGTCAGAAATTGTTCATTACGCTCCCCATAATAATTGGTAAAAAGTCCCAAAGAATCCTGCATCAGGTTTTGATGAAGGGGGGGGGGAAGAACAGCAAACTCATATTTTTTTAGCATTTATATTATTCAAAGTTTCTTTCTTTTAATGATTCTTGAAAGTGATTAACAACAGAATTATATTCGATTTCAGTAAATGGGGAACTTTGTGATAATAATATGAAGTTTAGATTGCAATTAATTTAATTTAATTTACAGTATGTGATAGAAGACATAAAAAGTCACCATAAACCATCTTCTGATTACATTCAGAGAACCAGGAAACTTAAATTTTGTAATATTTAAGCCAACCACTTTTTTTTTGTATGTAGAGTAATTAAAAAAATGTATAATTTAGGTTATAACTAATTACATTATAGTAAACTAGAGTGAATTTAAATTAAATGCAAGTAAATCTTGTTAAGGGAACAAATCCAAGTCCCTACTATATTAAAATTGAATTTAATGAAGAAGCAAGCAGCACTGCTGCCATCTCTTGGCAGGCAAGAGAAGCAAAGCAAGGAGAGAAGAGACATGGGGAGTTCCTGAAAAAATCATGTCTACTTGAGACTTGAGAAAGAACTGGCCAGCAAGAAGGAGCCTGTTTCTCCATATTACACAAGAAGGAGAAATGGAGTAGAGACTCAAGAGGCTAATCCACACCACCCACCTAATCCACAGTTAAAATAGTTGTAACAGTCATGCCAAATTCATTAATCCACTAACAAATCATTGTAAAAGATCCGGCTTTAATAAATCAAATTATAATATAAATATAGTAACAAATATAGAAATATGTTCAACCCAATAATCTAATTTTGGGGAGCGCATTTTATGAAAATGATATCGAATTTAAGATTGGGCCCCCCGGGCCTCGACTTTTTGGATTAAATCAATATCAGGGTCGACTATTATGTTTTGGGGGGCGCTTTTTATGAAAATCATGTCGGATTTGAGATTGGGCCCCGGGGCCCGACTTTTTGTAACATTTCAGATTTAATTGATATTTGAGTAAATTAATAGGTTTTGAGGGGCGCTTTTTATGAAAATCATGTCGGATTTGATATTGGGCCCCCGGGCCCGACTTTTTATAACATTTCAGATTTAATTGATATTTGAGTAAATTAATAGGTTTTGGGGGGCGCTTTTTATGAAAATCATGTCGGATTTGAGATTGGGCCCCCGGGGCCCGACTTTTTGTAACATTTCAGATTTAATCGATATTAGAGTCTTACTAGTTTTACAAAAAGTCGGGGCCCGGGGGCACTATCTCAAATCCGACATAATTTTCATAAAAAGTGTCCCCCAAAACCTTATAATCAACATTGATATCGATTAAATCCGAAAGGTTATAAAAAGTCGGTCCCCG